GTTCTTGTAATGCCTCTTGACCAAAAAACAGAAGATGCCTTTTTAATGTCTCCATTCTGTACATGCAAATCATTACATTTTATTTTTAATGACTAGGCAAGTATATAAAAGTTAGCAGCAACAAATAAGAACCTTGAACTCATAAACCACACCAGTATTAGAAATGTGTGGAATCATTAGCAAAAAGTAAAAACAAATAATGAGATAAGCAAGAGTTAGTCAAGTAATATAAGACATCAAAATACATAGACATCCTTTCCTTGTATTATTCCATAGGTACATAGTATAGGAGTTTACTTGGCCATCCTTCTGTCTAAAAAATATAGCGTCGAGCTTCATGGTTAATTTTTTTGAACTGGAAGAACCTTTCATTTATGGCTATGGTCCAAGATATATAAGTGAATTAGCTCAAAACCAGGGGAGTCTATGTGAAAACATTACAATAGCATATACTCTCAGTAAGAATACTTCTATGCATGTGCTGTAATTGACACGAGCTCATCATCGAAATAAGAGATTACACAAGAAGTTCCAACAAAAATTACTTCCCAGCATTTAAGTTTGCTTCTTGTGAGAAACAAATGAGAAGATGAAATATTTTAACCATAATCAATAATTCTTACAACAGCTTCAATCTCTGGCTATAACAATTCTTAGAACAAAATAGTTTCAATCTCTGGCTATAACAGTTCTAGAAGCAAATGCATCGAACAAAACTAGTTTCCTCATTCATTTTCGACACTTCCTAATAGCAGAAGATTTATTATACTGCAGAAAAGAAAAGAAAAGAGAAACATACTTGAGGTTAAGATGACTGGGCTGCGAATGAATCAAAACGACTGATTCAACGAACAACCAAATGATGCCAGAACTGCAAGTTCAAAACACGGCTAAGAATAAATAAAAAAAAAAGAGTGAAAGAAGAAGATTCGTGAACAGAAACAAGAGTCCAACCTTTCTCATAGTGAAACAACAATGATCAAGACGTCTTCTGCTCTGCTCAACTCCTCATCAATTGAAATTGATCTTTTTGTTAATTAGGTTTGCTCTGTGATCAATATGCCCAATTCTGCTTCATTGTTCTTCGTCGTTTAACATCTATCAGTATAAAAAAAAAATAGACCGATCTCAGCCGGGTTTGACCGGGTGGACCAGGTCCCGGGTAGACCCTCCGGGTCGGCCGGGTTTCACCAGGCCAACTCCCGAGCGGGTTTTTGCCTCCACCCGGACCGGTCCCAGGCCCAGGTCAGCCGGGTCCCGGGTCGACCTGCCGGGCCGGTCCGGGTTTTAAAACACTGCTTAAGAGTGTTCTACTCCCCGTTTACTTTATCTGTGTTAGAAACTCGTTTGTTCTGACGGATATCGTCTTGAGAAAATGAAGGTTATTTTTTTCCCGTTTGGAAAATGCGTTATCATCAGCTGCACGTTCTCCAAGAGGTTTAATTCTTGAATTATTTCCCACTTACTAATTTCAACTTTTTCGCAATTCAATAAGAAATGGAACACACCTTCATCGATCATAGATTGCACGTTGTGTGGGTTTGGTGGTGGATATAACAGGACTGGTTTGTCTGATCATAGATTGCACGTTGCCTATTATTTTTGCTATTCGTTGTTAGGGAACCCATTTTTATGCTCTGTTAATGCATCTTTGCTTGCTCTTCTGCATGGTAAGTGATAAGATTCAGCTGTTGGGATAATTTGATCCTGGCTTCATTAGGAGATTAAATGGGTTATCTGTTTGTAATGAGAGGTTTTTCTGTGTTACAGAAAAGCTCCTTTTTCTTATATAAAGCATTCTTCACTTTTTTTATATATAAAAATTAAAAAAAAAATGTTTATTTGTTGAGAATGAAGAAGAATTTATTCACCGGAAAAAAAACGTTATTATTACTATTTTCATAAAGAATCAAAGTTATAATTATAATAGTTATTTTAATATCTTATATTTGTGATAATATATTTATTTTTTTCTGTTCAATTTAAAAATTATCATTAAAAATGTTATATTTATGAACTAAAAAAAGTTAGAATTCGAATCGTTATTTTTTACCTTAGTTTTCCAAAGAATTGCTGAGGACTTTTGCTAAACTACTCTGCGTTCCCTTTCTTAATTATCATTCATCAATTCTAGGCCTAGGAAAAGAAAAATCTCGAAGAACAGCTAAAAACCAGTTATTGGAATTTTCATCTGGTGCTCTTCGCATGTTTTGCCTGATAGCTAGCCATGAGAGGATGGATCTTTTATTAGAAGAGAAGTGGGAGAAATTCCAATACGAGGGGCGTTGCCTGAGTTATCAGAGAAACTGCCTTCAGAGCCGATGATATATTGCATGAGGGCACCTTAGTGCATCGCCAGCCTGGTGGGGTGGTAAAACGAGCCCATGCCCTTGCTAGCAGTTGCCTGCGTCCAATTCAATTCAGCTGGATGTTACCCGCTGGCAGTTTGCAAAGGTTTCAACGAACCCATCACGTTTGACAAAAGTCTGACACCGCTCCCTAGCACGAGAACACTTCCCACCCAACATCTTTTGCTTGTAGCATTGTAGAGAAGAGAGTTGGATTTTGATTTAATATTATATGGTCATGTTAAATCTTTCTATTATTTCATCTTACATCGAAAACTCAAGGGTGTAAATACCAGGTTTAGGTATGCCATGCGTTACACACGTGATTTGAGTTGTTTTCTCTTGCTCAAATGAATATTATTGTTGATTTGTCTATCATTTATTTTCCATTTCTTTAACTTCTTCTACAGTCATTTTAACATTTTAGTTTTTTTCCTATTCTCTCAATAATATTTATTATATGATAATTTGGAAAGGATAGTGTTGTCCAGCATGTTAGCAAGATTTTGCAAGGAATTTTTCCGAAGCAAAACGGAGCATCTGTTAAATTTTAATACTTTCAGTTGATCTTGAAGTTTCAAATTACTTGGGAAAAGTCACAGTAATTATGAAAATAATTATATATGCATGCATGTCATAAAAAAAATTCGTTGCAGGCTATTAATCTTTCAATATTTCAGTGCAGCAACAGCGATGGCCTCTGTTAATTTCCATTAAAAGGCTACTAAAGCGAAAGAAAAAATATTCACTGACATGTAAAATCAGTAGCAATCCCTCGTCCCTTACAAAACAAAGGAGCCAATAGGAAGCCACCTTTGAGAACAACATAAATTTAAAATATCAAAAAAAAAAAAAAAAGAATTCAAGAACTGAATCAAAACAAAAATGCCTACAAAATCAACTACAAAACTAATTTTGAGTTCAAGTTACAGAACTAACTGGCTCGAAAATTAATCGCCAATTTATTTGGTGCGCCTACATGAGAACATGTCACACACCTCACGATACCCATGCGCGCTACCTCGATTATATCTAAGAGCTTGCTTACTGGGGAAATAGAGGAATACAGATGGTTTTGGCACGCCTCAGTACCTCCTGTTTCTTAAAGAGTAGTAGATGGCTGGTCACCACTGAAATTCATTAAGAAATGCTGCCTCTCCCACAGATGGCAAGAAGTTTAAGCCTTGCTACCAATCAATCCAATCTCTGCCTCTAAACTTTAAGCTGCAACTTTGGCTTTGGCTTTCTGTTTCTTGGCATCTAATGATGTTAAGCCTTTGCCCAATCCAACAGGAGCCTGACCTTGCCCTGATGTTTGGTCTTTTTGAGTATCTACCGGGTCATTAGAAGATTGTCCATTAGTTTCCTTCACTCCACCTGCTGCTTCCTCGTTGTTGACTGTATCTGGAGTTGCCCCTGAATTAATGATGTTGAGGAGCTGAGTGAGAGGTGGCACAGCTTGAACAGGAACACCAAGTGGACGAGTCAAGAGCCCCCTAGCAGCTGCTTTCTTCCTAACTTCTGCTGCTGCACGAGCAGCTCGTTCATCTACTCCCCTTCCCCGTGGAAGTGTCTCGCCAACAATTGCTGCATTAAGGGATTTGTTCATGGAACCACTGGAACTCCCAGATCCAGATCCTCCAGCAACTGCAGCAGCTTGGAATGCATGCAACAGGTCAGGATTAGCCTGCCACACAAATCAATGTCAGAAAATCCGATCATCTATAGACACCAGCAGACAGTTACGTAAGAGACTTCAGCAACATATACTTGGACATGCCTTATTTACAGACAGTTACATCTAGTTAATTAAATTTATTCATGTAATTAGAGATGCATCAGAAAAACAAAGAACGATGAAAGAACACACAAGGTTTTTCAGTACAACTACTTGGGCATGCTTAATGCCTGCATTGTTATAGGGAACCATTTCCACAAGCAAAGAATGACAAAATGCCCATATCCATATATCAATTAATCATCTCATCAGATTTAATCAAAGAAAAAGTAAATAACACTTGCCTTCAATATATCAATCGCCTTTTGAGCAGAAGCTGCATTCAATGCCTGACCTTTCTGCTTCTGTGCATTCATCAGTAAAAGAAAAATTAGAAATTCAGAAAACTTGAGAGACAGAAAAATGAGAACATTTTTGTAACACTATGCATCTACCTGCAGTTCTCGCATCTTAAATGTCTTCATCCAGTTTTCAGAGTCTCGAGTCCTTGAGTCCTCCTCACCAAGCTGTTTGACAAGTATGTCATAGGTTTTCTTCTCATGCTGTGCACAAGAAAAAGCTAATTCAGTAATGTGTATTTCCTTTATATCAGAATAAATTAATGCTAAAGAGATGTCATGCAAAAACATGCCTGGTGTGATAGCTTGAATGCGCCCATGCAGTTACATGCGATTGCAAGAGCATGGTAGCATACAGCAGTTTGAATATGCTCCTCTCCTAAAAGCCTCTCGTTCTTTTTCAATGCCTCTTGCAGATAGCGAAGAGCTGTATTCATCTTTCCAATGTCCTGGTACATCATTGCAACATTAATGAAGGTTGCAGCCACATCAGGGTGGTCTGGCCCAGAAGACAAACTCAGCAAGAGCAGCGCACGGGACATATGTCGCAGTGCAAGTTCTGTTTGGTTTAGTCCATGGTAAAAGAGAGCCATGTTTCCATAACTGCATAATTGCAAAACACACGGTGAGCCAGCAATTCAACCTACCAAATTTTAAACAGGTTGCCAACTGTTAATTAGAGCAATTTTCAAAGAATTTAAGAAAGCAGATTATGCCAGACAATTGTCAGTGCATAGCAAAATAACACCACCAAAGAAAAGGAACTTAATGTCAAGGACACAGTGACAAGGAAATAATGCCTGTGGGCAGTATCGGGGTGGTCTAATCCCAGGCAACGTTCATTTATGATCAACTCCTTATGCTGTTGGATGATTGCTCCAGCCATATCACCAGCATGATACAAAACCATGGCCAGGTACCTGAAAATTTGAGGTCAAGTGCAAATGAAATTAACAGAGAACAGCTTTGTTACAAGAAAAATTAGTAGAAGCTGGTCGTATTATTGTAGATGACATTGCGGTTTTAATTTATACCTGAAATAGTTAACATAAGCATAATTTTACATGTTCCTAGGTAAAAGAATCAGAAACCCAGCATAGTTTGGTTATTGAGTTATGATGCCTACCGACAACAGTTGGCAACCTCCCGATGCATTGGACCAGTCACCTAAAACACGATACAAAATGGTCAAGATATGTATCTCAGACACTTCCTAACTGAATGAAGAAAAAAAGAATGACAGACCTGTTGAAGAATGGAAAATGCATCGGAAAATGACGTGTAGGCTTCACTAAGCATCCCCTGAAGCAAAAGAAAGAAACAGTACTTAATAACCATCTAATGTAGTTCAAGAAACAAATAGCATATACTCCAACATGTTTTTACATTCCACAAAGTCAAATATCATATGATAGACTTGCAACTTGCCAACGTGAAAGGCTATTCAACTTGAAAATAGTGCTACCCATGAATGATACTCCAATTTTGCGGATACTTTCTTTACCAAAAATAAAATTTGAACCTGAAACCTATACCTGTCCTAGAAGAAACATTATCCAATAACAAATTTTTAATTCTTGATGATCAACACGGTACGGTCATGTAAGATCACTAATGAGCATGTCTAGGGCATACCTCAGCTAGTTGAACCTTTCCGGTTTCCACAATATCCTTAGCTTCTGAACATAGAGGAACCGAATGCTTTACCACGGGTTGGAGATTCAAGATATCTGACAGTTGGAATGGCATTGCAGCATTGAGATCATATTTGCGAGCTGCAATGGTAATGCCCATCTGTTATGGAAACCACAAAAAGAAAAATCATTAACAATTTAGAATGTCAACGACAAGCCAAAAAGAAATTCATTGGTATATTCTGCACTACCAGAATATAATTAAAATTACCATCCAGAAAGGCAAACACGAGCTCTTATTTTATTTTTTTTCAAGAAAACAGTAAAAAGGAAATGATGGTCAGATTGGTTGAGGAAATAAGTAGCATGGGTATTTATGGCCACTGCTCCAGGCATCACAGGATGAGAAAGACATTGACCAAAAATCATTGTAAAAACTCCAAAAATACAAATACAGTTATATCACTATAAATGGATGCGACAGGAACTGAAGCTGACCTTCTGGCAAAGATTTCGAATAACCGAGACTTTCTTCACTTGTGACCTCGCATCCTCTGGTAACTCAAACTAAACACAGAAGAACATTAGATTCAGGATATGCTACAGTGCAGAAGATCACTTAAATGTTTTATTTTAGCAGAGAGGAAATAGAATAAGGGACCCCACACAAATGATATGGTAGCAATGTTTCCCATACGACAAATAGATAGCAATGTAATAAAATGGACTAATTCAACTTCCAGAGAATCTCTGATTATTCCTATAGTGCACATACCCCACATAATGGTATAAGATACCTGATATTTGAGCTCTGCAAGTTCCTGAATGTCAGACCATAGAGTTTCTGAGCTAACATTCATATATGAGGATTGGTTCTTTCTTGCAAATGCTCCTTTCCACCTTGTTTGTCCCCTAGAGGATTTTCCTGAAGACTGATTGCCAGATTGTTCCTGTTAAGTGTTTCAAAATAAGAAACCAGTCAAATAAACAATGATGACAGGGAGTCTCTATAGCATTAAACATATTTCAACTTTTAGACAACTCTTCCTCTCCGTGAGATTTGACCTGTCAAATCTGAGACATGGTATGGTCAACATAGCACATGGGACCTTGAGAAGTGGCTGATAACATCTTAGAACCAAATATAATGCATAATACAGTAACCAAAAAACTATGACTATTAATCTTTTGTGGACATACTTTCTTTGCTGCTCTTGAATGCGGACCATTAGCTGAAACTTTTATGCCAACAGCTTGACAAGTTCCAAAGAAACAGTTGAAAAAATGAGAAATTGCTGGCCCTAGATCATTATCATCTGTATCCCTGAGAAGATCCTGCATCACCAGAAAAATGGTGGGAGAAAGACAATTACTTAGTACCAGACGCAAAAGTTTAAAGGACAATATATTTGTCTGGGTGCGCATGCACTTTTTCATATTAAGCACCCTCTGCAAATGCCAATAAAAAAAAATCAGAAGTTCTTATTATGATTACACACAATAAGAACTGGTTGCACTTTCCCATGCATGATAAAATTGATAGCACCAAACCAGCCACTAATCCCCATAACTAGAAAAGTGAAGTTAAATTTGAATATCCAAAGAGATGCAATTAAGAATATGCCCAGTCTACCGGAGAATCCTCAAATTGGAGTGAAAAAATTCAGCCATTAAATCAGTGAACCCTCCAATGATCTAATAGTTGGTATTTTTATTTATTTTTTTGGAATGCATCCAGGCTGTGTTCTTCAGTACATATAGCATTGTTCCACAATTTGCATCAAAGATCTATCACCAATTAATGGCGGACGCAAATATAATTCATTAGAAAAGAATGTGCCAAAGCTACTTCAGTCCCAAACAGGTTTGCACAGGCAACTTAATCACTTGAAGGTTAGATG